GAATGTAACGCGCTGGGAAGACTCCCTCTGCCTCGCACAGAAAGACAGCCAGTCAGACTGTTTCATTCCCCCTTATCTCCCTGGCCAAAATCCCCAGCTTCCAGAAAGCAATTTAAAGGCCAGACAGACAGACAGAAAGACAGACAGACGGACGAGGAGAGAGACAGCCGGAGAGGTGAAGGACTGCAGCCTCATGATAACACTGCGGAGATCGGGTTCACTCTGATACAACAGGCTACATCAGAGCCAAGTCTAAGCTCTGTGTGAACATGTTCAAATAATAAGGGGAGAAACCAACACAGAAGCCTCAATCTTCACCTATTATTAAACCATGTAGGAGCCTGAAGAGGCAGATGTGTCAGGGAGAGACAAAGAAGTGAGACAAGGGAGATTTTGTTAGGGGTCATGATTCAACTTTATTTTATTATTTAAATGAGGTTAAGGTACCTTTAGAAAACAGCTAATCTTAGCTTTAAAGGGATATTCCGGCGTAAAATTAAGTTAGGGTAAAACACACCTTAACGCCAAGTTAGACACCCTGTCGAGAGATGAATGTTGCCGACAGTTCTTCTCTAGTTAAACCAACTTTAGTAATGAACGCACAACAGCAATACACAGCGGTCTCAGGAGCCACATACTCAACCAAAACGTCACTCTATAGCCACAAATAATGATCAGAACAGCACCTAACTTCATCAACAGTACATATAGGGTCCCAGCCGCAGCACTAGCCACCAAACATCTTTTTAACTTTGCCTCATTTCTTTAACAAAGACACTAAACACAACTCACCTGCTCTCTTCCTGCAGCCGCTTGTTTGTACGGAGACCTCGGGCCAGGCCATCACCAAGTGCAGCGGGGTGACGCAGCTCAAGGAAGAACATTTATGATCATTTCTTCATGGAAATGCAATCAGACCGAGATGCTAAGACAGAAGAACTACCGCGTCTGCAGTGCAAAATGATTAATATGATGATTATTACTTCAAGGAAATGATAAAGTAATGATCATAAATGTTCTTCCTTGAGCTGCGTCACCCCGCTGAACTCGGTGATGGACTGGCCCGAGGTCTCCGTACAAACGAGCGGCTGCTGGAAGAGAGTAGGTGAGTTGTGTTTGGTCTCTTTGCTAAAGAAATCAGGCAAAGTTAAAAAGATGTTTGGTGGCTAGTACTATGGCTGGGACCCTATATGTACTGTTGATGAAGTTAGGTGCTGTTCTGAGCATTATTTGTGGCTATGGAGAAGCTTTTTGGTTGAGCATGTGGCTCCTGAGACCGCTGTGTATTGCTGTATAAAGTTGGTATAACTAGAGAAGCAAGCGGTCGGCAACATTCATCTCACGACAGGTTGTCTAACTTGGTGTTATGGTGTGTTTGACCCTTACTTAATTTTATGCTGTAATATCCCTTTAAATACTTGCTAAATAAAGTTTGACACCATTGGCTGAAACAACAAGGAGATTGTGAACTTTGAATAAAACATTGCATCTCTTTTGGGAAGGGGACTTGCGCGTTATAAATATCTTCTTTGATATAAAAGTTTAAGCAAACATGCGTGCTTACATTTCTTTAAGACTGTTTTCTCAAAACCCTGACAATTTTCTCAGTTTCTCAGAAATAAATGTCCATTATAAAAGACTTACCTTTCTCTCTTTACAGCAAAAACAGAACTTGTTTTATATTCATGAAATAATTATTTTCAGGCAATCTAGTAAACAAAGGTTGGTCTCTGTGATAGGCTTGATGGTAACAACACATGCACCCACTGCACAGACTAACAGAGTGAGTTTGGCCCACCATGGAGATACTTGAGGAAGCAATTTCAGCTGACTTCTAAGTCAAGTTAACAGAACAAAATTGAGTTAATAAAATGTACAGATGTGTGTGAGGCCTCCACATCTGTATTCACACACACTGTATGAAGGTTTAATGTGTTGTTCTGCCTCTGATCGTCCCTTGGAGGTACTGGCATGGGGGGGATGGTGAGGCAGGAATAGGTGGTGTTGGAGTGTTGGAGCTAGCGGCGTAGAAAAGCGCAGTGTGTGTGTGTGTGTGTGTGTGTTCATGTATGAGTATGTGTGTATGTGTAGCTACCTCTGCGTGCCTACAAATTGCCTCTCCCACTCTTTGACTGGTTTCATTAGGTCATATCACTGTTTCGGCTTTGTAGATATAATAGTCTTCATAAGAGAAATTCCTGCACACTACAAGCTCGGCATCACCCTGGAAATAATCGCATTTACTGCGTGCGTGTGCTTCTTTGTATTCGTTTTTCTGCATCTTTGGTATTTGTTACATAAAACTCCTCAGATTACATTTCTGTAATGGGATGCTTATGAACAGTCTTCCTGCTAGTTATTATGTAATACCTGTCAGTGCGGCGTTATCTTCAGCTGCCTGAAAGGGGAGAAGAGGAAAAATAGTGTCACACACACATAATAAACAACTGAACAAGCTTGTTTGAGGATTACAGTTTGTAACTGTGTTTATATGAACCTAAAACCATTTAAATTCACATTCTAACAAACACAATCTGAACTGAGTAGCAGATGTCATAATGACTGCATTACTCTGAGTGAGGCTAATAAAGTTCTGCACTTGTTTCAAACTTCGTGTAACTCTCTGACGTAAAGACTTTTCATCTGCATGGCCTGATTGTGTCTAAATCTGCTCTGAGCATTAAATATAACTCATAATTACTGCTTGGACATTATTCATCATTTTGAAATTACAGTCTGAAACGGAGGCCGATTCAGGAGCGGAAACCCCACTCAGGTGGAGCCCTCTCTGCTCTGTTCTTGGGAGTAATTAATTCTAACCTGGGTGGCGCTGGTTAATTAAATATTGAGGCAGCTTAAAACGCTGTGCCGTCTTTCTGCTTAACAGTCCCTCTCTGAGAGGACAGACACAAACTTTTCAGCTCTGTCAGATTAACCCTCAGCTGCAGAGCATTGTGATGAAGGAAATATGAGCACAATGCGCCTTAAAGTTGAAAATGAACATTTCAGGACAGGGCAGAGAGCTGCAGTAGCTGCTTTGGATTCAGACAGCTCAGTCACACAGGTATGAGGTATTATGAAACATTTATCTAATGTGTTTGGAATAAATAAATCCCCTAAAAATACAATCCTCTTTTCCTCTTTCATGGGAACAAGCTCAGAGTCCAGCTCTGTTTGCAGCAGATGAATTTTAACATTGCAGCAGACTTTGGGATTATGTTGACAGGCAACCTACTGTGAGTTTATAATCTGCCCTGTCTACACTCTACAGCTTTTATCTCTGATTCAACCAGACCTCGTGCAGAGAAAAGTCAGATTTAGAAAGAACGGGAACTCCATAGACAAACCAAAATAAACTGCAGTAAACTCCTGTCTCAAAGTGACTTTAAAAACTCTGCTGTGTACAGTTTAGAGTTACATTTGTGCCAGCTGTGTCTGCCAGTCAGATTAAAGCTTTGTGAGGATTAAAACCGTCTGACTTCACACTACCTACAGGTTGTAAAACAGTAAATATTAACTGGGTACAGACAGAAATGCTCCTGTCTTTAAGGGAGTCATTTCTATGAATATTTCTGTTTTGGGTTCACTGACCTGTAGGTTCAGATGACCTCTCCAGAGTAATGGGCTTTATGCACTGATCCACTGCTTCCTGAATTTAAGGCAGCTGTTTTAGATTATTGGACAAACTGATCAATCCAGGTGTGTCTGAGTAGTCACAATGATCAGTCACTCCTGGATTAATCAGTTTGTTCAATAATGTAAAACAGGAAAGAGAGGAGCTGCCTTAAGTTCAGGAGGTAGTGGAGCTGTGCATAGAGCCCATTGTTGAGCGTAATCCTCACGTGCTCCAGCTGAATGACTCGGGTGGAACGTCAAACTGCAGATGACATGTCCTTGACTCAGCCCTGTGAGTGTAAAGAGATTATAAATGTGATGCAGAGTGTCAGATGGGTGATTTACGTAATGGAGAACAAAAATAAATCCACACCTGGTTTGATTTAAAAAAAAAAAAAAAAAACATTGTGGAAAAACTGCCAAATGAAAATGAAGAGTGAATTATTTCTCAGATGTGACCTGGAGCTGAAGGTAATCTGCTTTCTCTTAAAACAGAAGACCAAGAGCAGCGCAAGAGCAGCACCTAGAGGTTCAACATGGTTACTGCAGCTGCACTTGACATGTCTGAACATATCTCGACTAATAGCGAAAAAGTTGACCCTTTCCCTTTATTTACTGTTACTACTTTTTTAGTATCTTTTGCAGCTAAAATGCTCTGAATATCAAAAACACACAACAGTTCAAAGAATGTAACAAATCCAGAAATATGATCCTTCATTTCTTTTTTTTTTTTAAATAACTTTCAGGAAACAGCACATATGAAAGCAGTCACACATTTCCACTTTCAAACTTCTCAGACTGTGACAATAAATAATATTAAATTTAATTGTTTTGGATTCTTTCAAAATAATTAATTTAAACTCTGGTCTTCTTATCTAGAAAAAATATTTATTTCTCAGAGAGTTGAAGGTTATACACTTTTGTGCCTCTTTGTGCCAATCCGGTTTTCATTCTTGTCTGTAAGGTGCATTTTGTCAATGTGAAGGTCTTACTGACGTAAACACACATATACTTCCTTTTCATGGTGTTGGTTACATCTGTTTTTGCCACTGACATCTGAATTTTTGCCAGGACTTTGGCTTAATTCTTACAGTAATCAAATTTATCTTTGGCTGTGCAAATATATAAATACTTAACCTGAAGGCTGATTTTGGAGTGATAAATTAGATTTTTAAGTAGATTTGAAAGTGAAGTTTTTGTACACCTGGCAGATCTGACAAATATCTTGTGGGTTACATTAAAACTTACCTTTATATTTCAGTTTAGGATGAGCTTGACTTATGAGTTGGTTTGTTCAGCCAAACTGACAACTTTCTCATTTCGTGTCATTTTTATCAAAAGACACGAAATGAAACTTAATTTTTCATTCCATAAACACAATAAAATTAAATTGGAAACAACTTGAATCATTTATTTTGGACTGAATTAATGAGTACAAAAACATTTTGTGTCGGCTGACAGTGCGAAACCACAACGTATTTACAAATGCGTTATCTACAAGAAAGAACGGGAACCTTGAATTATGCTTTTTCCAAAATGGGAACAAATAGAGACAAACACAGAAGTGGAGTGACCAAGTGCTGAATGTAATTCTGGGCGGTTTTGACCTCAACCAGCCGCTCAGAACTATCAGGGTCGAAGCACTCAGCTTCACCACTCATACGGCTGACTGGAAGTCAAGATCACAGGACATCTCCTGCAGTGAATCTCATAAAACAGGAAGACATCAGAAACCGCACAGTGATCACCAAACACCAGGAGGTATCCTCAGATCACCAACAAAGAGTCCCAGTTGACTGATTTTCTCTATTCTCCCTTTTTGGTTCAGATATAAAACAACCTAAGAAGCCTCTTCATCAATTTTCGGTGCCAAGTAGTATTTGACGTGTCCCATATCAGCAATCTTGTACTCCACCACTGGAAAAAGACAAGAAAATTGATTCGGTCATGTGAGGCACATCTTTAATCGATGTGACAAGATAAACTTAATAAAACCAGTAAAGTGTTTTTACCGAGGGGGATATCAGCTGACATGCTGAGGGTGACTGTCTTGGACAGCGGTGTGGCCTTGGTGAAGAAGTTCAGGTAGTTGAGAGCAAAGATCAGCTGGACAGGTTCATTCATCTCAACACTGACCTAAAGCAGATAAGAGACAGAATATTTGTAACAGATGCAACATAAGGCTGAGAAGTGAGTGAAATCAAATATTTGTGCAAAATGTGCCTATGTTACAGACCGACAACTGGCACCTTAAAAATAATCTAAATCACTTACTGCCTCCTCCTCTTTGTCAACGTTGCTGGTCTGGGACAGTTTGATGTTTCCTGTGCCCAGCTCTCCGGTGGCAGAAAACTTGACTCCATCCTTGGCGCAGGAGATCATGACGGCATCACCGATCTGGGACAGGTCACGGCAGATACGAGCAAACTCCCCAGATGGCATCTTGACCACACAGCTGTACTCCTGCTCCTGAAAGGGTAAAGAGGAGAGGAGGTTAAGAACATGTACATGTGAAGGACTTACATTAAGTGGAAAAGACCAGATATAGGTGACTTACTGGAATACCCAGCTGCTCTACATCCAGGTCCATCAACTTCATCTCATAATCAGAGACTTTCTCCTGGTCTGAGTGAGAGACAAGGACGGAAATAAGAAAACACCTCTGGGAAAACAGAAAAACTTTCTCCTTTTACACAAATATTCAAAGTGCACTTACTGAGAGTCTCAAACACAAGCGCCAGTGTGTCTGCATTGTCTTCTGCTCTGAGGGTGATGATGTCTTCATTTCCTGCACACTTCAGAATTTTGGACATGCTGTTAAAAACAAGAAAAAAAAAAAAGAGGGAAAATATTAATTTAAATACTGAAACAAGTTTGCTATGGCAGATGATCCACCTTCCACTCCATAGGAAAATACATATAGTGCCTTCGATTTTTTGATTAGATATTTGATTAGAAATCAAAACTAAAATCTAATCTTATTGGTATAATTGTGCAAATTGTCGTTCATGGTCAATGAGATCTGTATTGGAGGCCTGACTCTGTTCCTCAGTCAAATTACAGAGAGAATGTAAAACCCTTAGAGCGAGAAAGTGACTAAAATGTCGAAGATGAAGTCGATAACTGAAAGTTGAAAATGCTTAAAATAGATTCGACAACTTTTAATCTGAGAAACTATTCTCATTTAGCAGATGCATCATCACAAAGAGCATCAATAGGAAACCGGAAATAGAAAGTTCCCGGGTCCGAAAATTCCCGCCAACTCTTCCTGGACTGAATTTGGCGCTAAAATGACGTTGCTGCATAATCACAATGGTCCCCGCTGCCTGTCGAGCTGTAACAGGTGTCATTTACCCACATCAAACAACACTGCTCTCATTACAGATCCGCTCACACTTGTTAGATATTATGTTAAGATAGTTTTAATTGGCACAGACACTAAAGAGTTAACTTTGACCCGGCAGAGAGACATGCCCGGGCAATTCCGCCAAGATGGCCTCTCTCTCCCTCTTTGTCGGCTGCAGGTTAGACTTCTACATCATTGAAGAAAAACTGAGGCATTTTAAATCTGCAGTAATGGAACCAAACTCATCATCACTTTAATATCGACCTATAATTTGCTGCCTTTGAGTGTTAATGTTTACACACCTGGTGAGGTTGACTCCCATAGCGAGGTTTCTGTCGCAGCGGTAAGAGTCGAAGCCGTCGTGCCTCAGAGTGAGCTGGACCAGAGAGACGTGAGAGGAGTCCATGCTCTGCAGGGAGATCCCAGACGAGCTCACATCCCAGCAAGCCTCCGTGATCAGATCTTTGAGAGCCTCCAGAACCTTCTTCAGGATGGATCCCTGGACCAGGCGAGCCTCAAACATGGTTACTGTGGAGTTTTGAGTCTGCGTAAAGTCAAAGAAATGGAGAAGTTTTCGCGTCACTCCTTCAAAATGGAGGCTACAGCTTCAGTTTTCACCGAGTTAGAGAGATAAACTGCTCCAAGAGTTCAGCAGTTTGTGTTGTTAGCTAGCAGAGTGAAGTACGCAGACTCTCTTCTCGCTGCAACTCAGAGGTTTGAGCTGTAAGCGCGCGATAATGTCAGGATATAAAGACTCTGCGTCTTTGCGTCATTTCCGTTTCCTTCTTGGCACGTTTCATACCGCTAAAATAAGTGGTCACTGATAACGGCCATATTGGGAAGGACAATCTTGCCCCATAGACTGTATATAGAATAACTGTATATATAGTAAAATATATCAAATGAAATATATAAAACTATATATACAGTTTATACAGTCTATGTTTTGCCCACTGTGGACGCGTAGTCGTAAAATTTTCTTATATTGCAATATTCTTGTTCATTTTTAATGGAAGCAGAAATTATATTTTGAACTATGTGCATTTACCTTCAATATTAAAGATATCATTAAAAGTAGTGTGCTGTGTCACTGTAGCATTCTGTGAAAAAAGTCGTCTATACCTGTTTGTGCACATCAGCCATAATACACCTTCCCTGAATAATGAAGAAGAAGAAGAAGAAGAAGAAGAAGAAGAACTTTATTAATCTCCTAAGGGAAATTCAATTGTCTGTTGTCTCACATAATATGTCTCTAAAAGTTATCTTCTATTTACAAAAGAGTTATAAAGTCTGATGGCTGTTGGTACAAAAGATCTTCTGAATCTTTCTGTCCTGCAGCGAAGAGAAAGGAGCCGTCCATCACCATTGACCCTTTGGTCCATCAAGGTGTTGTGAAGTGGGTGATCCATGTTCTTAAGAATAGTCTCCACCTTCTTCATCCACCTCCTTCAATGTAGATCTCTCCACCACATCCTCCACTGAGTCCTGCTCGAGTCCTACCACAGAGACAGCCTTTTTCACCAGTTTGTTAAGACGTCTTGCATCTTTGTGTTCGATGCTTCCTTCCCAGCAGACTGCAGCGTAGAACAGAACACTGTAGACACCACAGACTGATAAAACATCTGCAGCATCTTACTACAGATGTCTATTGATCGGAGATGAAGTCTATATTCTTAGACCAGTCCAACTTATTATCCAGATGTACACCTGGGTATTTGTATGATGTCACCACTTCGATGTCCACTCCACAGGTGTTCACTGGCTGAAGTGGGGGTTTGGATCTACGGAAGTCTATGACCATCTCCTTTGTCTTTGAGGTGTTGAGGAGGAGGCCGTTTTTGTGACTCCAGTCACTGAAGGCTCTTATCAGATCTCTGTATTCAGCTTCTTGTCCATTTCTGATACATGCCACAATAGCGGTGTCATCTGAGTATTTCTGGATGTGGCAGGACTCAGTGCTGTATTTGAAGTCTGATGTATACAGTGTGAACAGGAATGGCGCCAGCACTGTCCCTTGTGCATATATAATGTGCTGCAAATATGCAGCACATCATACTATATGGTTGTATGTCTACATGTTGGGATGTAAGTGGAAGCTTAAATGCACATATTAAATGAGACCGTATGTTTACTGTTCACCTTATAATGAGTCATAACCATTAAAAATCACAGTGGAACTAAGGAGAACACAGAATTTTTTTGAAATTTTTTTATTGTTTAAATGATCAAAAAGGAGTGCTTGGTTTGACACACAGGGCTTCTTGTCACACAACCATATACTCAGTATTTGTCACACATACAGTCATACTGTATACAAATGATGTTAAATCGATACTGTCATTAACCCCTGAGTATGCACTGATTAAGATCACTTGTTACCCTTTGACACTGGGCGAAGTTAGAGTAAAGGTCATAAGAGCTTAGAAAAGAGAGCAGCAAACATTCTTGCTGAAAAGCAGAGTGATGTGTACATGAATACGTCACAACACTTGGCAGGGATTTTAACTGTACTTGGATGGTTTCATCGTTTTCTTTGGGATTTAGAACAAGGGCCGTAGTCTTCTCACACATCATGGTAAGGCAAGATATAGTTGGCTGTCATGGCAATTATAGGGGCTCCAGTTGGGATTCCAGGGAAGGGACCACTGGATCCTGCGATGTCAACATGGGAGTATGGAAGAGGCCTGTCAGAATCCACACCATGCTGCAAGGGAAATGAATGGGATAACACAGGTTAGTTGCAGCATGTATTTTTTAAAACTTTAACATCTGTAGATAAATAACTCTTCTGATGACTTCTGAGCACCTTGTCAAGCCCAGAGGCCATGATGAGGAAAGCTGCAGGGGTCTGATGTCCTCGAGGGGTGGCAGAAGAAGGCAGATTGTTGGACTGCAGGATATCCTCGTACTCAGACTTGCCCTTGTGGAACTCGTAGTCCTCTCTTCTGATCATGGACACCTCAAACAGGTCACCAATAACCTCACCAGCTGTGTGAAAAACATCAGAACACATGTTTAGGAGTGACAGAATAAATTAAGTAAAAAAATTCAAACTTGTTTTTGTCAACGGTTCAGTCACAATATCAATCTCTGCAAGCCAACATATGGTACCAAATTGAATGTGAGGGCTTAATTCAAGACAAAAGTTCTTCCTTTTTGTTTAAACTGCTTCTTAGCTGGTGTATTTGCTCTTGTTTTTACAGGAGATGGCACAGGAAATGATTATGGCTTTTTATGTTATGAAAGCTGTGAGGTGCATTTAAAAGCTCTGGAAAAGCGTAGAAATGCCGCAAAACTAGAGAGCTTCGTTGATCACACAGGAAAATTTTAGGAAGGCAAAAATAGTCAGCAAAACAGACTCTGACAATACCAGACAACCTCAATTCAGGATATTTTGTACAACATTTGATGACCAAAAAAAAGGAAAAACCCTCACACAATACATTTTTTCATTAGATTTTCTCACCTTTCTGCCACTGAGCAGCATTGTCATTGCGATGAGCAGGTCCATTGTCCATGATGATCTACAAAGTATAAAATAAAACTGATCTTAGTACACACAGTGATTCCCACAGCAGAGGACTCTCTCAGTATTTTAAATATGTAAGCACCAGCATCTCTCAGCAGGTGGCAGTATTAATATACATGATTTTGAATCAGCTGTACTTACAGAGTAGTTAGGTCCCATAGCTCTGATGGCGTGACCAGTCAGAGTAGCAATGGTGAACAGCTGAGGAGAAGTCTCATTTACAGCCTGCAGACACACACATCACGATCAGAATACGGTGTATGAAGAGGCAGAAAATAACACTCAAAATCAACCAGTGCATGTTTTCACCTTCTCCTTCATCTCACAGAGAAGGTCGACCATCACCATGCGGCCCTCAGCATCGGTGTTTCCCACTCTCACTCTGTGGCCAGCACGGGAAACCACAAGTTCATCTGCCACATAGCACTCTGAGGAAACACAAAGGAACAAAAAACCCCACAGTGAATTAGTTCAAGGGAGTTGCTGTAACATAGACCTGATGGAAAATGAAAATGAAAACTGGAAAGAACATCTGACACCAACCTGCGCCAACACTGTTCCTCACCATGGCCATGGCACCGATAACCTTCAGGTGCTGTGGTTTGAGTTTGGCCAAAATCTTGAGAACGAGAAGGAAGTTAAAGAGGTTAAAGGGAGCAGCAGTGGAACTTTCTTCAAATGAGTGAAAGATAATTACAATTTTGTATATCATAAAGTTCTGAATATGAAGTCAAATCCCTGAGGTGTGGACCTGCTGTAAAGGCTCCTGCAAGAATTTGTTCTTCAGTTAAAAGAGGCAGGACTCACCTGGAAGAAGCCAGCAACAGCAGCAGCTCCACACTTGTCCCTGTGCATCCCGGCCATGATACCACCAGCCTTGATGTCTGCTCCACCGGTGTCATAGGTGATGCCCTGGAAACAGAAGAAAAGATTTGAAATATGCAAGGAGTCAGAATCATGTAAAAAAAAAATAAATAAATAAAATAAAATTATTGATCAATGCCTGAAAAACAAATCAAACATCCCTTTCTGAAATCTCATCCTCAATTAGCTGAAAAAAAAGGCTGCAAAGATAGTTTTTGCAACATTTGATGATCTGCTATGAGAAACTTCACTCAAGGGTGACTTCAAGAAGTTCATCATTGATGTACCTTGACATCTACCTGGACTCCAATTCACATTAAGATCCACATATATGCAGCAAATCACTGACACCATCCTTTTTTTCATCCAAAACACACTGAATTCGCATTTTTCCCCCCAAATTCAGGCAATCTCCTCTCACCTTTCCAACCAACATGAGTGTCTTAGTGACTGGTCCTTCTCCACAGTACTGCAGCTTGATAACTCTGCCCTGGTGACGGGGCACAGCTGCATGAAGAAGGACATTAAATAAATACAAACATCTTTTCTCTTTTAAAAAAAACAACAACACAGCATTAAATTATCTTGCTATAGCTAAATCACATATTTAAGAAAATATGTTTTCCTACAGTTGGCACAGCGATTCACTGCAGCCAGGCAGGGATATTCTTTCTCCAGGACGGCCAGATCACTCACCACCTCCACCTACAGGTAAAACAAAAATAAAGCACTTTTTAAAAAAAACAGGGCCAGAGAAAGTGGATCCAACTACTTTTGAAAAAACACAACTGTCCCATTCCATCTCTAAAAAGACCACCAGTCAATGGTTCATGATAGAAACACTAATTCACATTATTTATTTGCTTATATGATTATTTATTCCTCATAACCTGCACGGGGCTGTTATTGAAGAGCTCCTGGACGTACTCGGCCACACGGGGGGCAGCCATACGCTCAGGATCTGAACCACCGATGTCACGACATACCAATCTGATGAGGAGAAACAGGACGGCTAATAAAAAAGGGCTACAAAACACAAAATAAAAAAAAAATCCTGTGAGTGACATGTGATGTGTGTGACCCACCGTCCACTCTCCAGAGCTTCAGCCAGCTCCACCAGTTTCCTCCCCTCGGGCCCCTTAGAAGCCCACAGACCCAGAACACACACCTTCCAGTCAGCTGGTTTGACCTTGGTCTCCCTCACTTCCAGGGGCTTCATGATGGACACAAATTAAAACTGATGAGTTGTTGTGCCTGGATCATGGAGGTCTCTTACAGTTTATTTCGATACATGCAGACAAAGCTGTGAAACTCTGCAGTTAGCACTTGATATATAATGCATTTGTGGTTCTCTGATCTTATATGTCTGGTTACATAATGCAGGCCCTGCAACAATAGAGGTGTCTTGTCTTACCATGTAGAGAGCCTGAAGGGCCCCAAGTGCAGCCACAAGGAGGTTGTTCTTATAATCTTTGTTCGGAGGGACGACCAGCAGGGGGCGCTGCATTCCAGCCTTTAAAGCCCTGAGAAGATGCATGTACGTAGATGAACAAGGCAGCAAAGAAACTTGGAAATAACTCAGCGTCCTGAAACTCTAAAAGGCGAAGATTATCAGCTGACATCCACTGACCGTTGCATGCCATTAAATGCTGCATCACCGTAGCGCCTGACATCATCATAGTCTCGGTTTACAGGGCCGGTGGAAGCAAACACCAGGCGGTTGCCAGGGAGGTCAGGGACTTTCAGGACCACCACCTCCTCACCCAGACCGCTGTCCACCTAGAAGAGGGAGAACAGGTTGGGAGAGAGACAACAGAGCAAAGATGCATCAGAGAACATATGACACAACAAACAGAGTGACCTTTTGGACAATTGGAAACACAAATCAAAACAACCCTTTTTAAAAGAGAGAAGGTGAAATATGCTTTGCTGGTTTGAATGGCTGCAGGGGCAAGAAGAGCACACAAACACACTGCAGAGCAACTTACAGCGCTGTAGTCCTGGAGCGGGGCTTTCAGACTCTCAAGCTCTGCTGGCAGAGTGTCATGATTCTCTGTCACCAACAGGATGCCATCAAAACTGAAAGTAGGAGTACAGAAGCATCAAAAATATGTAGTGTAGATCTATTATATCCACTGACACCATGATGGCAAAGCATGAAGTGCTTTTCCCTCACACTCTCATTTCTCCTCATACTCACTTCTGGTTGTTGAGGTTATCGGTCCACTCGAGGGGCTGAACGCTAAACAGCAAAACACAGAAAGGAAACAAAGAGTTATTTCCCCTTTAAAAAGGCAATGTCAGCAATTTCAGACAGAGAAGCTTACATACCCCAGACAGAGTACAATCAGGCCTTTATAGCAGTTTTTATAATGGAGGTCAATGATAACAGAGTGGGTCAAAGTGTGAAAACCTACAAGACCTTTGAGATCTTAGTGCAACTGGCTCATTTCTGGTAAATAAAAACTTCATACTCTCTGTGGCACAAAGTGTGGAGTCATGTGATATCAGCCACGTACACAGAAAAGCTAAGCAAAAATGAAAGTGGAGAAAAAAGGGATGAGTCTTTAAAGTGGAAACTAAATCTCGAAAAGAGCAGCTTCTGTCTGCAACATGAGAGAGTCAGATTACACATCAGCAGCAATGCACGAGTAAGACAAAGACATGAGAAAAACTATCACTGACTCATTTAGTCTGAGTTAAAAACTGAAACTAAAAAAAGACTCTAAATACAAATATAAAGGGAAAAGCCTGTTTAACTAAATCCTCTTATCTGCTGCTGTCTTCCATGCACAAAGCTCATGCGGTGTTGCAGATAGTTGCACGTTTAAAAGAACAACCCTGAGCCAAAACCACCCCTGAACAAAACCAAGATCAGAACCTCACCTGGTACACATCTTCGGTCCTGCTGCTCCGGTGCCGGCAGGGTGAAAGGGCCCGTGTGCAGTCACTGATCACGGCGCCTTCCCTTTATTTCTCTCTCAGTCACATGATCTGTTGAGTTGAACACGTGCTGCCTTCGCGTGCCTGACGTCACTCGGAAATATGAATACACAAGTCGTAACGTGCTGCGTTTTTTCTTTTGTATGAGCACTAAGATTTGTGTAATTTCCCCCGAAGGTATAACAATATCTCTTTCGTGTAATAAAAATGCCCAGTGTCGTTAAAGGGATTTTTTTTTCATTAAAAAAACCCAGAATTTACGGTTTTGTATGAAATTGCTTAAATTCCCACGGTAAGTAAAAGCGCATTTAAAAACACTGTAGGGAATTGTAGTTTCTTAAAACTAATTTCACACTTGTTTTATCAAACTAAATATGAGTTTAATGGCAGTAATGCATTTTTTACACACTACAGTAAATGTGAGTTGTTTTATCCTATCGTTTGTTTTGGTTCGGTTTGTTTCATACCGCTTTTGACATGACTGATGAAAAGAACTACAAAACCTAACCGGAAGCCGTCAAAGAAGTGTTTTTAGAGCAGCACAGGAGAGGTGAGTATTGACCAGAGGAGGTACAAAGGGCGATAATGAGCTTTTTTTCAGAGGTAGAAACCAAACAGCAGAGCCACAGCTCGAGGTTCAGGTAGGCAGAAATGAGTGTCTGCTGCAGCTGTCCTTGTTCTTTTCTCACCATGGTTCTGATTTACTGCTGTGTATTATCTAATGACAGCTGATAACGACAGGTTCAGGCACACATGCTCACATTATATCTGTACAGGGTGTTTGGCCCATTTGGCAGCCTTTCCTGGAGAAACTAGTTTGGGTGCCGTTTTCAAAGCTGCTCATTGGGTTCACAATGTCCTCGACAGTTGGAAACTTAATACCAAAGTAAGAGCACTTGTCAGGCAGAAAGTTTGTCACAAAACTACCACGCATTTTCCCTTTAATTTAACATTTATTTACCACATTTGAAACATCTATACGTGTGTAGGTCACAAGACCACATATAGAGGAACTTTTGCATAAATGATAAGCCAGTAAATGAATGAATCAATCAGCCAATCAATGAACTTGACTCTTAATGGATTTCCAATGGGTAACCTCATTTTCTGGCAACACTACCAAGTGTGAGGAGGAACTTCTCTGCTGTACTTTATAGGACTTTGGTTTTTCGTCTATCAAATGCAAACTGAAACTGTTCAAAGTACACCTACTATCTTTAACAGCCCTGAAGTATTTAAAAATGAACATCTGACCCTGAATAGATGGTTTAGTTTGTGTGTAGGCCCCAGTTTGTTTTGCTTCTGTTTTTTAAAATGTGAAAAAAGTCCCAGATTAGAGGCAAAAAGTCCCTCATGAGAGAGAGAGGAAGTTTGATTCCCATTTCCTTCTTTGTCTCCTTCACAGATGAGACTTCTCCTCCGCTCCTCTTCTACTATTAGGACTTTATTTTTTCAGAGGCCTTCAGTAAACCCACAGAGGCAGCAAGGATTGAGTGGTGCAGCTATGCGTCTGGTGCAGTTCCAACACCAAGGGGATGAAGGAGGCATCAGGGTGGGAGTAGAGCTTGGTGAGGGGCTCGGTGTGGTGGATCTTAAAGCGTATGACCCCTCATTGCCAACAACAATGAAAGCGCTGCTGGAGCTGGGAGACGAGGGTCTTCAACATGCACAGAGGTATTAAACGCACTCTCTTTACGGTGCTTTCACTCTGCACTAGTTCCTAAAACTCTTGTTTTGCCTCCTAAATAATCCCAATTGTTTATTCATCTATTCATATGAATCATAATCTCCTTACATAAATACCCTTTCTATTATTAAATGTCATCTTTTGAATCAGCAGCCTCCTTGATTAATCATCTATTTTGGATAAATAACTTTATATAATTATCATAATAATTCTTTGCCCCCCTTTAGTGCTTTCCACAAGGTCTTCATAAATCCCTCCCCCCATGTAAGATATCTAAACTTCTTCACAAATCAGCAACTTCCTCCTAAAATATCACATTTTTAAATCATCAGCGTTTCTACTTCAACATCCATAACAAATCTGCTCTGAATTTTGGTTAATTATCCCCTTGGTTCAGATAAATCTGCATCTTTTCCTGCATCTGACAACCATTTTGTTCCAAACCTTGTTCTTCCTCCTCTTCCTTCTCCTCTTCAGGGCCATGTCGTCCGGTCAGTGTGTGGTGGAGCGCTCACGGATCCAGCTGCTGTCTCCAGTGTTGGCTCCAGAGAAGGTGGTGTGTGTGGGTATGAATTATAGGGATCACTGTTTAGAGCAGAATGCGCCCATCCCTAAAGAGCCAATCATCTTCAGCAAATTTCCCAACGCCATCACCGGGCCGTACGATGATATCCTGCTGCCTTCAGAGAGCCAGGTGAGAGTTAGCACATAAATATTATTTACAGTGCACTTAAAGCAAAGAAGAAGGGAACAAGAGAGACTTGGAGATTAAAATCAGAGGCTTTTCCCCATATGAGTAAACATTAAATAAGTACAATTATTATTTTTGAGGCTGTTTCTGCATCATTTTTGCAGGAGGTGGACTGGGAAGTCGAGCTGGCTTTTGTAATTGGACGAAGAGGAAAACACATAAAGGTGAGCATCCTAATTTCTCTTCTGAAGGCCATGGCGCTCTGATCCTCTGATTGTCAGTTGTGACTATTTCCACGACTCATCGTTCAGGAGGAAGACGCTCTCTCCTATGTGGCCGGGTTCACTGTGGCCAATGACGTCAGTGCACGGGACTGGCAGATGAAGCGCAATGGGAAGCAGTGGCTGCTGGGAAAAACGTTTGACAGCTTCTGTCCTCTTGGTCCTGCGTTAGTGACCACTGATGCTATAAAAGGTGAGAGGGGACAGGAAACTGCACCTTAAAGGGATATTCCGGCGTAGAATTAATTTAGGGTCAAACACACCATAACACCAAGTTAGACATCCCCTCGAGAGATGAATGTTGCCGACCGCTTGCTTCTCTAGTTATACCAACTTTAGTAACGACTGCAGGATAGCAATACACAGCGGTCTGAAGAGCCATAAACAAACCTCAACCTAAACGCCACTCTATAGCCACAAATAATGGTCAGAACAGCACCTAACTTCATCAACAGTACATACAGGGTCCCAGCCATAGTACTAGCCACCAAACATCTTTTTAGTTTTACCTAATTTCTTTAGCAAACAGACTAAACACAACTCACCTACTCTCTTCCAGCAGCTGCTTATTTGTAGGGAGAGCTCAGGTGAGTCCATCACTGAGTGCAACGAGGTGACGCAGCTCAAGGAAGAACATTTATGATAATTTTTTTATGGAAATAGAATCAGGCCGAGACGCTAAGGCAGAAGAACTACCCAGTCTGCAGTGTAAAATGATTAATATGGTGATTATTACTTCAAGGAAATGATAAAAAAAATGATCATGACCGTTACGGTGTGCAACGATCATGATCATGACCGGAATATCCCTTTAAAAAACAACATAATCCTATCATCTTGGGTTATATTTGGAGACGGTCTTGTATGTCAATAATGTTTCTTTTTTTTTTTTTTCCAACCATCCCCTCAAGATCCTCACAACCTGGGTGTCCGCTGTCTGGTTAACGGCCAAACGGTTCAGAACAGCAACACAGACCAGATGATCTTTAAGACGGAGGTGCTGGTCGCTTGGGTTTCAAAGTAGGTTCATCAGATGCACTTGGTCTGCTCATGTCAGAACTGTCTGAACTCTACAGTTTCACGTTTTGTTCCATGTTATAGTACAAGCTCGTAAATTTCCCTGTTTCAGATACTTCAACACTTCCATTTAAGACATTATGCAAAGCCAACCGTCAAACAGGATCTACAAAAGAGGTTCTGTTTAAGAAAAAAACCCTTATGCAATATACAGTCAAGAAAAGGCACGCCTCATTTTAGACTGATCCAACAACCCAGGATCTGGAGCCCTTTTGCCCTAAAGTTCCCAAACAAATCGGAGCGTCCTGTGATCCGATATGATCTGGGATTCTAGCACATGAAAGAATCTCAGTCCGTGATGATAATCTATCATGACCAAGAAAAAAAAATCGTTTTGATTCACAGTCATGAGGAGAGAGTCGTGATAATTCTGTCGGCACTGTTAGGAAATCAAATCAAACTTTATGAAGCGCTTTTCCTACAAAAGAATGTAACGCAAAGTGCTTTACAGTCAATTTAGAAACAAAAACTATCCTAAACGCCCCACCCCCACCCAAAGAGGCAATCTACAGTCACATACAAGCTCATCCAAAGCCACTTGCACGCCAGCGCACCCGCACATACGCACACTAAGATAGTGGACATGAGGCTGAGTGGACATGAACCAGTTGAGAAAGCGCCACCAGAGGAGCCGTCAGCACCAGGAGCAGAGAGCCGCTCACAGCCACAGGACACCAACACAGGGCCAGACGAGATGTGGCAGACACCAACCTTCACCAGGAACCCCGTGACTGGTCCCTGCAACCACAGCCGACCATCGCTCCCGATGTGTCCTCTGAGGGCTTCCTTAGAGGACACACTGTGGGTCCTAAAAATGATAGAGTAAAAAAAAGTAATAACTAAGATATGAATAAAACCAGACCATCTTAGTGACTATAAATACAATTAGATATAAAATAAGAAACCTAGGCTAACTAGAATAAATGAAGATAAAACAAATACTAATTAAAAGCTAAGCTAAAAAGGTGGGTCTTGAACCTGCTGTTAAAAAAAACATGAACATTCTCTGCGACCCTGAGGTCCTCTGGCAGGCTGTTCCATAGATGAGGGCCGCAATATTGAAAAGATGCGTCGCCATGAGTGTGTGTCCTGACTTTTGGAATGACTAGGAGCCTGCTGCCAGAGGAGCGCAGGGTCTGTGAAGGTTCAAAAGGTAAAAGCACTTCTGAAAGATAAGGAGGCCCAAGACCATTAAGACGTTTAAAAACAAGTAAAAGAACCTTAAACTCAATCCTAAAACACATCTAAAACCGGTGTAATGTTGGCCTGCCTCCTGGTCTTAGTCAGGACAAGTGCTGCTGAATTTTGTAATAATTGTAAACCTGAAATATTCTTCTTGGGAAGACCAGAAAGCAGGGCATTACAGTAGTCTAGACGACTGGTTATAAAAGCATGCATTAGCGTCTCCATGTTGGCCCAAGAGAGAATGGGATGGACTCTAGCGATGTTCTTCAGGTGATAAAAACCTAATTTTGTTACGTTCTTACTGTGTGGAATAAAAGTCGGCTCAGAGTCAAAAATGACACCCAGCTTTCTCACTTGTGGTGATGGATTAAAAGACAGTGCTCGTAGTTTGGGTAAAAGTTTCCTTGATGACTAAAACCTCAGTTTTATCCTGGTTAAGCTGGAGAAAGTTCTCTGCCATCCAAATGCTTTTTCAAGCTCCTGAATTTGCGTTTTGTTATTTCTCTCAGGTTTGTGACGTTGGCTCCAGGCGATGTGTTCCTGACAGGCACTCCTCCAGGTGTGGGTGTGTTCAGAAAGCCTCCTGTCTTCCTTAAGGCGAGTTAAACGGATAAATCAAAGAAGTAGAACACAGGTTTACACTTTGAAGCAGGCGAAAACATGCCTTGTGTATCTTTTGTTAATCTGGTTTCACCATCTCTGACACAGAGGACTGTGCCAGGCAGGTTATCAACCTGACCAGTCAACATGGTTACCACATTGAATACGCAGATTAAGACTGGTATTAGTGTACAGTGGATCTGACTGTAACAACTCCTATTTATTCTTCAAAACAGATTTTTCTGCTTTAATAACTTATGAGCTGCAGCTCTGATGGTATCAAACAGAGCGGTATGAAGATGCTCTGATGTTCGCCTATTTTGGATTAAGACGCTTGGAAAGCACAACCAGTTACTTTGATTAACGGTATTCATATGTGAAATCATTTGGTCAGCAAAGCGTCCTGTTGATTTCGCCTCCTCCTTCCACTACAAGCTACAAGATCAAGCAGATTGATCGTCATTTGGCAATTTTCAACAAACTGACCTCCTACACTGAACATGCCCGGCAATAGAGCAGGTTTAGTGTCCAGCATGGTGAGAAATGAACCATCTGGTGTTAACCTAGAGTGGTATAACTAAGCTTCATAGTGCAGGCCCCTGGTCTGTGCCAGAGTTAAAAGTTTTTAAAGTAGAAAATGTGTATGATAAATACTTTGACTTTTGTTTCCACAGAAAGGAGACATTGTGGAGTGCCAGATTGACCAGATAGGCTCCATCATCAACAAAGTCGTCTGAACTCGGAGACGATGGCTAGCTACTCTTCACATCTGATCAACTGCTTTGCAATATTTGCCAAGTGATTTATACTTCTTTCTTTCAGGAAATGTGAAAACAGCTGCAAATGTGTAAAACTGTTCAGTGCCTACTTCAAGTTTATCCATAATATGATCAGGAAGTAGAAAAACATGAATCTGATACAGGAAACAATGTCATTATGTGACTCAACATTATGTTTTCTAGCTCAACCCCGTTTACTGAGTCACCACCAGCTGTAAAAATATCCTCTCATCAAGACCGGCCCACTCAGAGTATATACAGCAGGGTACTTAGAACCCCCTCACCCTTTTTAAAGTGAAAAAAAAAATCATTTCTAAATGTTTCAGATTCAGTTTGATGAATTGTACACACAAAGAGTATTTTAATACCAAAGAGGATTTCAACAGGAACGTCTCATAATAAATATGCAGATCCCCAGAACAGTAGGAATTTAATCAAATAGAAGATGTGCTGTCATCAGGATTCGTCCCTTTCCTGCCTTGGAGAAAATTCTTCTTTATTAATAGGATTTTTGCTCTGATTCATGCGCCTCATTTTTCTGTAAATGAAATCTTAAAGGTGATGAAGGTTTCCACTGACGGAGAAGGCTTTAGAGAAATCGCCATACTGCATCAACACATTCACAGTCTTGTGCGTTGAGATGAGGCGTCTTGTTGCATCTACAAGCTCTTTGACTATTTTATAACGTATATTATGGGAGATTTAAGATTAGATTCAGTGCAGAGTACATTCAGAGGTATTTGGGGTTAATGGTCTTTCTTGAGGACACTTGGACATGCAAATAATAAGACTGCTGTGACACGCTAGCTTCAGCCGCCTCGAAATTTACATGATAGAAATTTTCTTCATGTGAAAACATAATGTCTTAGGTCAATCAGGTACTTTATATTCAAAGGTATTCATGGCATATGTTAATCTGAATCATGAGAAATCAAATCACTTCACCCCCCATGGAGAGATTTCCCTTTAACCTTTGTGAAAACATGGCATTTCCTTTGTGCAATAGATACTCTTGCATATTTTACCAACAAATGTTTGACGGCTGCAAGTAATGCAGTCAAACACACAGAGAGGTCAACACTAGTGCCTACATGGAGATGATGTAGAGCTTTCTAAAAGAGTTTCTTTAAGGTACAACTTTAAGTCTAAAAAAGTTGGGACATTGTGTTACATGTAAATAAAAACAGGATTTGATAGTTTGTAAATCATTGAAACCCCATTTTAATTAGCGATGGTGCAAAGACAACACAGCAACACCTCTTCTCTTACTGACATTTATACATCTGGGTTCCATGGAGAGATGTTAGTGGAGGTTTGAAAATGAAAAGTTGTCCCATTCTTGCCTGATGTGGTGTTTCTGCTGCTCAACAGTTTGGCATCTTCTTTATCATATTCTCTGTTTCATGATTGATCAAATGTTTTCAGTGGGCCAGCTCAGCACCCAGCCTCCTCTACAACAGGGTCACACTGTTGTAATGTGTGCAGAATGGGGTTTGGCATTGTCTTGCTAAAATTTGAAGGTCTTCCTGCATGTTTCCCCAAAGCCTGTGTATATTTTTCAGCGTTAATACTGCCTCTCCAGAACTGTAAGCTAACCATGCCACAGGCACTTATGCACCCCTATACATCATGGATGCTGGCTTTTGGCCTGTGTGCCACTAAAAGATAGTGCCTCTCCTTTGAATGTCAATATTTGTTTTTTTAAGACCACAGGACCCACTTCAATCGATCTTAAATGAGCTCCAGCCCAGAAGAGTCATCGATGTTCATACGGCATATGGTTCCCTCTTTGAGATGAACTGTGTTCATAGACTGAAGTATTGATGTTATATACTGTAGATGATGAAACCCAGAATTCTTGGCAAGTACATGCTGAGGAACATTATTACTGAACCTGTTGAACTATCTGCTCTATCGTCTCTCAGGGGGGTGGACCTCTCCTCATCTCAACTTTTGAGAGAATCAGCCTCTCCAGTTTGCTCTCATCTTTCTCTACTTGACTGGTTCCTAACATGCAAATTAACTTCATAAGTTGATAGATGTTCCTCCAGGTGTTTTTCAAGGATTGCACATCAGTTTCGGAGTTCTTTCGTACTTTCGTCAGAACATTTGAAAAAAAATGTCTTACTAGTGAAAAATTCAGATAAAGCTAATGTCTCTAAAACAGTCATTTCCAGTTTTAACATTTCATTTGTTTTTGTGCTACTTTTAATGACACACAGGGTTTGAGTAATGTACAAACCATCATTATCCGTTTTTAATCAACATTTTACACCGTGTACCTACAAGGATTTTTTCCTATAAGCTCTCTAAAGTTTGGTTAACAGGAGTTCTTGCAAGACAGCTACACAAGGCTGTATTATTTCTAATTACCTCTGATCTAAAGCTCTGCTCCAACATCATAATTTACAATGCTAAGCAGTTTGTAGTACAGAGATATTTGTAGCATAATTTATCTTTGAGAACACAAAGTACAATCAATAGATAATCTGACATTTAAATCTTAGCAGCACTAAATAGTTCCTTTGTGCAGTGCATTGTGGAGAATGGTGTAAATTATCATGATGCTTAGAGGGATAGTTTGTTTTGTTCAGTTTTTGAAGTGAAGTTGTATAAAGTGATTGTAATGAAGTCAGGAGCTCAATGAAGAGGCCAAGCTGAACGCCATCCCCCCTGGAGAACCCCTTTAAAGGTCACAAATATTCACAATAAGAGACTGATATGTTGAATTTAAAAAATCTGTCCCTTTTTAAGTGCATAAACTTTAGCCTGCATAAAATAAGAGATACGTTTTATTTCAGGTTTCACTCAGTGGAACTGAACTTGACAGGAATTTGATTGTTACAGTACACAACGTTCACCACAGGGTGGCAGTAGAGTTTCATGCCCTCAAAGCTGATGAACTGCAGCTTTTCTTGGTGGTCAAGGTTTAACAAAAACAGGAAACCAGCGTTACTGAATCTTAACAGCAAAACAGACCATTTTAAACTCCAAAATGTCAATAATAGCCTGAAAACGGCACTACGAGGCATTGATTTCTCTCTGTATCTCTGTGTCAGATTCTCCTGAGGTCTGAGTCAGCACACAGAGATTTACATTCGCAGGCAGAGCCACGATCTGCTTGGAAGAGATTAAATCTTGGAGAGCGAGCATAAAACACAGCTGTGGACCTCATTTGTCTATGTCCAAGGAGCCTGTTTGCTGCAAATATGTGTCCAGTCCACAGTGAAAGAAGACTTTTTAATGTCAGTATAAACTTCAGTAACTCCAACTAAACATTGGCTGAACATTCATATCACAAAAATAACATCTTAGCCCACATGAGAACATAAACATGGCTGAAACACGAGCAGTATCGAGCAGAATCCTGGCACTGATTACAGGGACTTCATAATCCTCGTCTCCTGTGGCTTTATGCTAATGCTATTGCTAAAGACAAACTTAAAATCAATGTCTCATCACTGAAAAATCAAAATGCAATTAACCTAAAGGCACGAGCGTCTGCTGCTCAGCATGTGTCTTTTTTTAACAGCGAAAACGAGCCTCTGAGACGCTAACAAAAGATGAGGTCAGACTCTGCAATAAACCAAAGCAGAGGCCTCCAGTCACACTGCTCGGTTAAACACATTAATTGTAGAGGTACTGTGAGATGAAGCGGTGCAGTCGCTGCCTGTTCTCTGACAACTGGAACAAAGGAGTGATACCCAGGATGACGCCTCCTTCCTGACGCTCCTCTGAAAGGACCTGAAGTAAACATAAACACAGGCCTGTCAGGAGACTCGCGACAACAATGCTCTTTTTTCCCCAATAACCTTCCTTAAAGCTTGGTGAGCAGAGCCTCTCTCTTGGCTTAAGTGGCTGTTTTCTGCACGAGGTCAAAGAAACAGGCTGATGGAAATAAAAGATAATAAGACCTTTCAAAACAAGACTGTTTCCAAATATGAAAAAGAAAAAACAAAGATAAAAAACGTCTCATAGATAACACTGAACCTACAGCAAGGTCCGACATAATAAGGCAAAGTGAGGCAGCAGAACTTCTGATTGGGCACTTCGATCTTTTTCCACAGTTAGATGAACACTAAAAGCAAATTTCCTCTTTGTTTTGACCTGTAGATCTTCAAAATCAGCTTCCTTGACACAGGGGAGTTTCATAAGTTGTCATATCCATCAGACGAGCCTGATAATGACCATTTCAGACTAATAACCTCGATAAGACAGCTAATAATTTCCTCGTGAGATCTTTGCAGATTTATAGGTCAATGAGGCTCTATTTTTAAAACGCAGTGATTCCCAACCCACAGTGTGATGAAGAGACTGATGGGGGCAGACACCATCTACTTTACAGGGTTGAGAAGCTGAGTGGTAAAATCTAAGAGCAGGAAATTGTGCCCAAACACTGATTTATGTTATCATAGATGAATTAGACAGCATCAGAGTTATGAGAGCAAAGCCATTTCCTCTCTTCTGACTAAAATGTGTTTGTTCCTCCTCCGTTCTGAGAAATTAGTTTAAAAATACACTACTTTAGCCTCTGCTGTTCGCTTTTGTCAAGTCTTATCAAAGTTTGTTTCAGTCCATGGATGAATAAGCCTGTGTTCAACATTTTCAACCAGGTGATCGAGTATTTTCAAAGAAGATAGAAGTCACATTGTTCATTCAGGATCATAATCCCGCTGAGAACCTTTAAAGCAATATGACTGACAAGGGATAAGTTCAGTTCAAGAATACAATAGAAGGATCTCTGGAACAGCACTTTGTCTAATTGTCCACTGAAAGTCTCTGCTGGTACACAGACACATGGTTTATAATTCAGAGATCAAGTGCTTCGACGCAGACAAAGGTTAAAACAAATGGCACGTCTATCACACCAAGTGAATCCACTGCACTCTTGAGCTGTGTCTCACTGACATTAATAACACAAAGCTAGAGTTAACTACTATTAGGCCTGCTGACTGTAA